TCTGGCGCCGTGCTCTCCATGGCCGAGATCTCTCTCGGCGAACTCGATTACTAAGAGTACAAAGATGAAGGCGGGATTATCGGCCAGATTATCTTCATCTGTCTCAATTTTACCCTCCTTATTCTCATCTTTCCCTACATCATAACGCTCTTTTCCTCTACGTTAGAGGAGTGTCAAGAGATCGAGGAGAGTGCCAATGGAGGCCCCGCGGCTACGTATCCCAGCGAGGCGAAGAACGAGGAAGACTTGCCAGATAACAACAAGCTCTTCATGGAGGTGTTCAGGGAAGAACTAACAAGAATGAGGAGACAGCCAGGCACACACATACACTGACGCTCACACACGCCCACTTTAACAGTGGGCTAATTTTTGTTTTTAATACCTACATAAAAGTGCAGGAAACTACTAAAGCCCATTAGCTCGCGTGAGGCAAGAATGGTACATCGCGTGACTGCTACAACTCAACTCCAGCAAATTAAAATGAATGAAAATGGATGGTGGAGAGAGAGGACTCTGTAACGCAAAGTGCTAAAAAGGAGGAAAAAGCGGTCTTGGAGTTGCACGGAGAAATACGATCATGAAGCGACGGTCTCGCTTCATGCAGGTCGGCGTTCAATCCCCGACCGTCCAAGTGGTTGGGCATCATTCCTTCCCCCCCCCCTACCCCGGTCCCATCCCAAATCCTTATCCTGATCCCTTCCCAGTGTTATATACTCGTAATGGATTGGTGCTATCTCCTGATAGTTCGCTTCCCTTCCCGTCACACTGAGCCTGTCTCCCGAGGCACACATCACCCAGATAGTATCAGCGGAACGTGCAAGGCTGAACACCATAATGAACCAAAGTCTTCAGGACCTCAGTAGCACATGTGATATACCAATATCATCTCAAACCAACGAAACTGAAGAACGGCCAGAGTCAAGTCGTCAGATTAGTCCTAGAGCTGAGAAGTATGAGGTGTATGTACAAAATAAATACCCAAAGCCATACGTCATTGTAAGAACGAGGAAGACATGATCACGACATACAAAATACTCGGGTGTAATTGACAGTATAGAAGCCCCCGGAAGACAAAGACAGGATATATAACAAAGGAGATACGCAGAGCGACACTTGACCAAACAAGCACAGTGAAAAAGCAAACATGGAAATTCGCTTGTAGGTGTTTTTTTCAGTGCCAGAGAAGTGAATGCAAACACAGCTAATTGGAGAATGAATTGTTGGAGACAAAATCTACACCTGAATTCAAATAAATGACACAAATATATGACACAGAACCCTTTGTTCTGTGTCATATATTTATTTGAATTGAGATTCATATAATATTGATTCAATACAATCACTCATCGATTGAAGGTCCAGAGGTGGGACCCAAGAGCTAAAATACAATCACTACACACATAGGTATAATAAAGGGTTTACTAATATATTATTTTTTTTAACAAAAAGTAGCCTGGTATATAGACTGTGGACAGTAGGCCTGCTTGGCAAGTAGCATGTCTTGAGGAGCGTGTTATATGTGCCAGTAGGATTACTGGCCCTCGAAAGTAGACAGGGGTGGAACTGCCTTCTTGGGGCAGTTACCCAAGTTTCTGGTAAAGCTTGTATACTGAACTGCAGTAGATTTAAGGTAATTCCACGTGAACCCTGTCGCAGATACCCTCTCACGTTAACACCCCCCATCGCAGATACTCTCACGTTAACTCCCCTCCCTCGCAGATATCTCCACGTGAACCCTCTCTCTCCCACTGAGAGAGAGAGAGAGAGAGAGTGCCACCCCTCACCTAGCCAGCAGCTCTCAGCAGCACAACAACAAGGGCTGACCCTTCACACTAACTGCTATATATAGCAGCCCTCGCAAGGTCGCGGGGATTCCAACGTGTCCACATGCATGTCCTTGTCCTGTCCCCTCCCAATCCCCCGAACCCCCACCCCAGCGCCACCATCTCAAACACCTCCACAGTACATGCGTCTCTGTTCTCTCTATGACGGGCACTCAACCAGTAAGTGTCGCCCTCAGGAACGCAAAACAATCATCCAAAGGTAGAAGCAACACAATGTTGACGAAAAGGTAGAAAAAAAAAGGTTTTAAATAAAATATATAACAGTGACAGATGTTCGGTGTTTGGTGGAATTATCATATTAAATAAGAGAGCTTGAGCTTGCATGTTGATCCACACGGTTACCCGGAACCCGCATGTGGGTCTCGTCATGTAGACACACACACACACACTCACACACACACACACACACACACACACACACACTCACACACACTCACACACACACACTCACACACACACACACACACACACACACACACTCACACACACACACACACACACTCACACACACACACACTCACACTCACATACACACACACTCACACACACACACACACACACACACTCACACACACACACACACACACACACACACACACACACACACACACACACACACACACACACACACACACACACACACACACACACACACACACTCACACACACTCACACACACTCACACACTCTCTAGCATACATAATTCTTCAGCTCTTGCATCTACCAGTAATATATACCTGTTGCTTATTTATATTGTATAATATAAATATATTTATATTGCATAATACCCTGAACACCACACCTCCAACACCACACCTCCAACACCACACCTCCAACACCACACCCCCTTCACCAACCCTGTAAATACTTTTCATCCAAACATCACTCAGCATTCACACCAAATTATTCGTCAACCCAAGTTCACTTGAAATGACAACAGGAAAACGATTAGGCACGGATATATCCCCCCCCCCTCTAAGCGGGAAACAAGACGAAGCCCCGACCCAGACCAAACTCCTGTACAAGTTGAGGCCTCTCACTATACTCACAGGATCAGTCTCTACCCCCTAGTCCAAGTTGGGACCTTTCACTATACTCACAGGATCATTCTCTATCCCCTAGTCCAAGTTGGGACCTCTCACTATACTCACAGGATCACTCTCTATCCCCCCTAGCCCAAGTTGGGACCTCTCACTATACTCACAGGATCATTCTCTATCCCCTAGCCCAAGTTGGGTCCTCTCACTATACTCACAGGATCATTCTCTATCCCCTAGCCCAAGTTGGGGCCTCTCACTATACTCACAGGATCATTCTCTATCCCCTAGTCCAAGTTGGGACCTCTCACTATACTCACAGGATCACTCTCTATCCCCCCTAGCCCAAGTTGGGACCTCTCACTATACTCACAGGATCATTCTCTATCCCCTAGCCCAAGTTGGGTCCTCTCACTATACTCACAGGATCATTCTCTATCCCCTAGCCCAAGTTGGGTCCTCTCACTATACTCACAGGATCATTCTCTATCCCCTAGCCCAAGTTGGGTCCTCTCACTATACTCACAGGATCATTCTCTATCCCCTAGCCCAAGTTGGGTCCTCTCACTATACTCACAGGATCACTCTCTATCCCCTAGTCCAAGTTATAATTCTGTTAGGCTGGCATTTACTACATGGGAAGATCAATGATAAAATTCCATAACATTAATAAGTTAATGTTACAGAGGTAATTGGTAATTCTCGTGCCGCTGTTTCTAGTTAATGCGTCGGACTCGCTAATCGAAGGGTTGAACAAAATGGTCATGAACACGTCCGTGGAAATCAACATTTCATTCACTTGGGCTTTTAGGAGACTGAAATCCGTCTCTGTTGACCGAGACTCAATAGTTCGGTCGATACAGCTTCGGTCTAACACACGGTTCGAGTCTCCTAGGGTCCAGAAGCCAGATTCACGAAGCAGTTACGCAAGCACTTACAAACCTGTTCATTGTTTCTCAATCTTTGGCGGATTTGTTCACAATTATTTAACATTTAATGAGCTCCGAAGCACCAGGAGGCTGTTTATAACAATAACAACAGTTGATTTGGGAAGTTTTCATGCTTGTAAACTGTTTAATAAATGTAACCAAAGCCGTCAAAGATTGAGGAAAGATGTACACGTTCGTAAGTGCTTGTGTAACTGCTTCGTGAATCTGGCCTCTGGTGAATGATACGTTGTTCTTAATCCACAGCCGTCTCGTGGAACACTCCGTGGCTATAACCTGTTTCCTGTGGAACACTCCGTGGCTATAACCTGTTTCCTGTGGAACACTCCCTGGCTATAACCTGTTTCCTGTGGAACACTCCGTGGCTATAACCTGTTTCCTGTGGAACACTCCCTGACTATAACCTGTTTCCTGTGGAACACTCCCTGGCTATAACCTGTTTCCTTTGGAACACTCCCTGGCTATAACCTGTTTCCTGTGGAACACTACAGTCACCCAGGGAGCTTTCTGACGAGCCTTATACTAAACTCCGATGCGCGTCCTATCCCCAATATCAAGCCCTATTAAGTGGGCAGCTTGTATAAAGAGGGAGAACGGCCTATTGACATAGCTCGAGTGCTTGGGGGGAGTTGTGTAAAACCCTGGTTTGTGTCTCGGAGAGGCTGCAGGATCCAAGTCCAGTAGAACTGGTTTCAACTCTTTTTGACCATGTCGTAGCTCAGTCGATTAATGCTGCGTCTGGGAAGATCTCGGACGTAGGTTCGAATCCTCGTCACGGCCCTTGTGGATTTGTTCATCGCTATTGTGATTTGTGTGTAAGGGCTCTTTTATAATTACCTATTATAATAACAAATACCTTAATGAAACTGTTATTGTGCGTGTTTTTAGTATTGTTCCTTGACTGAATATATTGTTGACTAGACCACACACTAGAAGGTGAAGGGACGACGACGTTTCGGTCCGTCCTGGACCATTCTCAAGTCGATTCGATTTGAGAATGGTCCAGGGCGGACCGAAACGTCGTCGTCCCTTCACATTCTAGTGTGTGGTCTGGTCATCATACTTTAGCCACGTTATTGTGACTCATCGCCTGCAATATATTGTTCATCGGACATGATTTTGATATAAACATTTCTTTATATAACATGATATCAACATTGTGGTTCTTTCAGGTCAAGGTGCGAGTAATGTGCATAGAGGGACCAAGAGAGCTGATCTTCAAGTCGGCCAGCGCCTGTGATTGCTTCCACTGCAAGAAATATTAGGCCGAGGGCGGCCGAGAAGTAGCAGCAGCGGCCGAGGAGCCGCAGCAACAGCGTGGGGGGGCGCGGACGGAGGAGGAGGAATAGATGACTGGAGCGACCAGGAACAGCCAGGAACAACAGGAGCAAAGACAACCTTTTAAGGAGCAGCGTAACAAAACGGGAACAGCGAATTAACAGAGAAACAGCTAAGGGGAAAAAAACATGGCAAAAAAAGTCAGAAACCTAGAAATGCCGAGGAACGCACAAACAGCTATGAACAGTAAGACTATAGTGAAGAACAACGCGGGAACAGCGCCTGGAAAAACACGAGAAGGCCGCGGAACATAGGAACAGCCATGAACAACACAGGAACAGCTTTGAACAACGATGAACACCACAGAAACAGCCAAGAACAATGATGAACAACACTGAAACAGCCATGAACAATGATGAACAACACAGAAACAGCCATAAACAACCCGGAAACAACAATAGCAGTTGAACAAAATCAGCGAAAGCAACAAAGATGCAGATAAAGGAGTAGAGAACAATGAAGAACACGAGGAAACGAATGAAGATATTAAAACATACATACGGCAGGAACAAGGAGCAAAGCACAAGGAAGGAACAGGGCCGGAGAGACCAATGGAGACCAGAAGAGAGAAACGCCAAGAAAATATCACAGCCCCCACCGTCACCCACACACTGTACATCTCATTCACTCATAAAACAAAAGATATATATATATATATATATATATATATATATATATATATATATATATATATATATATATATATATATATATATATATATACGAAAATGAGATACAAAGTGTGCAAGAAGCAAGACAGCAACAAACCAAAGAAGACCTATAATTCTAAGACCTATAAGACCTATAATTATTATTAATATAATGCTAAACCACCTCACAATACCGCCGGTGGATCTGATCAAACCTCTTCTCTCGTCTGTGTTATATTTGTATTTATTAATCAATTGATTTGCAATCAAACGCTGATAATTTTCACCAAGATAAAATATTTTATTAACCAAGACGGTTCAATGTTTGTGTTTTATGATTTGTGTTTATTTCCTGTTTTGAAAGTTACTAATAAACGTCTTATCTAATTGTATGCAGATTTCTATGACCCACCATCAGTGATACACAACGAGAGACAGGAGGTAGATTGTGTGAGGAGACATGGTGCTAATAGATAATGTGAGGAGAGACATGAGGCAGAGGCATGAGACAGATATTAGGGAGAGACAGCTAGAGGCAGTAAAGCATCACACTAACGACCCAACCAGAAGGGTACGATACTAGGGGTACGATACCAGGGGTACCATCCCAGGGGTACGATACCAGGGGTACCATCCCAGGGGTACGATACCAGGGGTACCATCCCAGGGGTACGATACCAGGGGTACCATCCCAGGGGCACCATCCCAGGGGCACCATCCCAGGGGTACCAGCTAGACGATCGCTACTCCTCAGCTAACACCATAGCCCTTGACATCACATCAAAGGTAATGATCCACTAGGAAGGACGACTCCAATGGCAGCCAATTAACTACCAATTACCGACACAAAGAAAAGGCCCAAGTGGATAATTACGAGTTTGTAACAATGAGCCATTAACAGGTACCCAGGCAATAGCACGACCCATATATACGATGTTTTGCGCAGAGTCGATTAAACCAACACTAAGCAATAGAAGTATGGATCTAACAATTCAGAAAGTCAGTTTTATAATGTATAATCTTCATAATACAATGAACATGATACTTACAAAAATTGTTCTTAAAAACATCTAACAATTAACGCACGAACGAACGCTTCACCAACGATTGTGATTGTACTCATTTTACAAGAAAATTCTATCAGTTTTAGAATTAGAAATTCTATTTCTATACCCGGGTACATAACCCTTCATAAAATAAAGACATTAATAAAACAAACGGATCTCTGACAAATAATAATAATGGTGAATACAGACGATGAGTCACAATAACGTGGCAGAAGAGAGAAGAGTAACGGGAGACATGATCACAACCTACAAAATCCTCAGGGGAATCGACCGGGTAAACAAGGATAAACTATTCAACACTGGTGGGACGCGAACAAGGGGACACAGGTGGAAACTGAGTACCCGCATGAGCCACAGAGACGTTAGAAGGAACTTTTTCAGTGTCAGAGTAGTTAACGGATGGAATGCATTAGGCAGTGATGTGGTGGAGGCTGACTCCATACACAGTTTCAAATGTAGATATGATAGAGTCCAGTAGGCTCAGGAATCTGTACACCTGTTGATTGACAGTTGAGAGGCGGGACCAAAGAGCCAGACCCCCCTCCATCAGAGCGATTACACCCCTCCATCAGAGCGATTTCCTTAAGGATTTCCTTAAGGAAATAATTGGGCCAGTCACTACTACGACTGGCCCAATTATTTCTCGATTAATTCAATTTAAAACAAAACAATATAAACAATTTATTCCTATTGTTTATAGGTTATTCTCAGTGTCCTTAGTTAATATATTAAGTCAGACCCTTCTTGGTTGCTAAACTAGTTTCATATTGCAAGACAATTTTCCCTACTTGAGATTGGCTCTAGTCTGGACTGGATCCTCTATTTCCTACATTGGTTACCCAACTTCAAGTCGCTTTCCCAATCTTGCTTCCCTGCCTCATTACTGTACGCCTAGATTGGCTGTTCTGTTGCCAGACATGTCAAGAGTGCTAGTATGAGCTGTCCACGGCACATGTGTTGACTAAGCGGAGTTTCCCAGTGTGTTTGATGAGAGGAATACCGGGTGGTGAGGTTAAGGGTGTGTAAGGGGGGGGGGGACAAATGGGGTGTAGGGGTTCAAGGGGGAGGGGTTAGTGCAATCTGCTATTGATCTAGCAAGCGTGATGAGTCAATTTCATCCCCCCCCACCTTCCCCCCTGTATTCCATTCTGTGTTGACTAGCTTTAGTCAACCATTGACACAAAAACACGACCCTTTGTTACATTTCAATCTTATTATGAAATGTGTTTAAATGCATTTTAGCACAATAAAATTACAATTATATTTGTAAAATTTGTATACATGTCGTAGACAATATTGAAGCCGTATAATGGGATCGACTCCCTCCTTTCCTGGGCTCCTTAGGCAAAGCACTACCGACTGGTAAGAGGGATAGATCCCATTGCATAGCTACAATAGTGCCATTATTTTACCAGTTACAATTAGAGGTTCACGGCGTCACCTGGGCGATGACCAGGTGACCGATGGACGCGACATCAGCTGGTAAAGAGGTGATTGTACCTGTGTCATTGAAGACAGGTGGAGTTTACACCTGTGTCATTAAGGACAGGTTGAGTTTACACCTGTGTCATTAAGGACACGTGGAGTTTACACCTGTGTCATTAAGGACAGGTGGAGTTAATCAGCTTAAATCAGAGAGGAAACGTTTGTAAGGCCTCCAAGTTTCAGCCCCGCTCCTGTGCCAGGTAAGTCCACTACCATAGCCCGTGCTACTTGGAACTTTTAGTCCCCAGTGGCTTAAAACAACAACAACGTCTGTAAGGGGAGAGTAAGTACCAGCAAGGGTCCAACAAGCCATGGTTGAGGATCCTGCATACTCTAGAGAGGAAGGTTCTTATAATGTATAATAAGGAAATAAACACACAATAACTAGTAGTAGTAACCTTTAATATAAAAACTCAGTTATTCACATTATCATAAATCGTAAATCTAGAAATGCAATCACAAAGGTTTCTTATATTTGATAAAAACTGCCGCAAACGTACACTGCCATTTGGTTACATTGCATAAACGACAGGTTTTTATGCAGTTATATGACGTAAATAAAAGGGATTCTAACCCTTTGGAAATTGTAACAGAATTACTATATATCGGTGAGACGGAACAGCTCAATATAAAAAGATCTTGGCATCCTGATTTAATAGGTAATTTAAGCAAAGATATCACTGTTTATATGGTGGAAATACAGCATGATGTGATACTAGGATTTACAGCAAGAAATGTTTTGTAATGTGACAGTGAATGTTATTGAGGATAATAAAGATATTAGAAAATGATCTAGGAAAAGTTAGGATGAATATCAGGTATAGGCCAGTAATAAAATTAATCAAGAATAAGGGGAGAGGAGGATGGCAAAACATACATATTCAGCTAAGGAAGGGCCTATTCAAAGCTTCAGCTTCAGTCGTTATCCGAGGCTGTTTAACTTGCTTTTTTGCATTGAGCTGATCCAGCCTCATCTTTGCTTCACCTGTTCCTTTGCTTCGACTTCTGCTGGAAACTGCAGATCCAGTTTCACATGTTTATTTGTTTCGCACTCTACTTTGAGCTGGACTAGCTGCACCAGTTTCTTCACTTCGAACTCTGCTTTGAGCTGTAAGAGTCTCACCAGTTTCTTTCCTTCGAACTCTGCTAATTGAGCCAGATTCACCGGGTTCTTTACGCTGGATTCTGCTCTGAGCACGTGAAGCTTCATCCGCTTCTGTGCTTCATACTCTGCTTTCAGCTGGTTCAGCCTCGCCTGCTTCTGTGTTTCGACCTGAGCTTTAAGCTGGGCCAGCTTCGCCCGTTTCTCAGCTTTTGCCAGCAATAGCTCCTCCTCTGCTTGCAGCAAGGTCAGCTGAGTAAGCTTCGCTTGTTCCTCTGCTCTAAGGCAGTTCAGCTTGATTTGTTTCTCTGCTCTGATCTTGGCATTTAACTGGGCCAAAGTGGCCTGTTTCACTGCTGTTAAGTGAGGTATTTCCACCTGTTCTTCTGAATTCAGGTTGGTCAGCTTTATCTGTTCATCTTTCCTGCTCAGTAACTTGAGCCAGGACAATATGCTGCAGATGATCCCCATGATCTGTAACATAATTTATGAGTATAATTAAAATATAGAACATGAAAATAAAGGTAATTGCTGAAGTCCAAACGAGGCAGCTCCTATTTATAACCAGATAACATCACGGGAAGAAAATAACGATGTGTTTTACGATTATCAATTGAAGCAATTTTTCTGCTTCAAAAATTGCTTTACTGTTTATTTTCTGTAATAGACGTAGAGATAATTGGACGATAGTTTGACGCTTGTGATCTATCTCGGGGCATTCTTAAAAAAAAATAGCACAGCATTTGCAACTTTCAACGATACCTGTACGCTGCTCGAATCCAATGATAAATAAAATATGCAAAGTCTCACTAAACTCAGCTTTACACTCGTTAGGAACCCAGGCATATACTTCCACAGACACTACAATGCCTTAATTTTTATATTTGTTTAATAACTCCCTTTCTGGCAGGAATTAAATTCGAGAATCGACTACACTATTGACCTGATTCGTCGACCGAAACATCGTCGCTTCGCCATCTTCCGAGTTGTGGTTTCGTAAACAAAAATCACCGATTTTAAATGTTTTTATCTGCACAAAAACACCCGATATTATTGCACCGAAACGTGGATGAATGTAGAAAACTATTGGCTGAATATCAAATCAAGGTATTACAATTATTTCACACGGATATACGAGGAGGGGAAGAATCCCCACATGTCAGGGAAAATTTAAAACGTAGCGTCAGTGACGAGCTCACAAAACTACGCCACATACAGAATATATTTAGTTGGAATTAAATAAAAATATAGGGCCACTGCAGCCTCCGTTGTCCTCATGCGAGAGATTATGTCTGGCATTACACACAGAAATCACAATAGCGTGATGTATCAAATCCACAAGGGCGGTGACGA